CTACATGGACGTGTTGTTGAACGAATTCATCTAAAAATTTAGTGCATTTGAAGACCAGGTTGATGTTTGATAATGACTGTTGAATCAATTAGACGCATCTATATTCAACCCTATCAACGCGTCAAACAACGATGTGAAAACTGCCAGAAAATAGTTAAGACCGCGAATCAACCGATCGGTTAATGAAGTAAGCCTGTGTAAAATCAGTCACATAACTGCGTTAGGTTTTCCGCGTCATGCATGGGCAGAATGGCCCAGTGGGAAAAGTTTAGAGTACCGAAATTGTGGCAGTGAGTTGTGAGTTTGATCCTAGCTTCCTGTGACTGTTTTAATCAAAATCAGCGGGGTGGCCAAGCGGTTAAGCACAGTCGAAATTGGAGCAGCGAGTTGCGTGTTCGAAACCTGCATCAAGCTGTGAAAAAATTCGCCCTTCACAATCGGCGACAGGCCTAACGTTCTATGGTGTCACCGCTATTCAAGACGTGCCAATTCGATTTTCAGTGCGTAAGCAAGAACATATAAACCATGTTAAAGTAAAAGCCAGAGAAGTTTCATCTCCCATACACATCACGTACTCCGGATATGTACCCTCTCGCCCGTAGGACGGATGATGCGTGCACATCAGTGAGATGTGAGCGCCGTATTGTCTCACCCTCACCAAACAGAAGGCGTGGGCCGTGGGCACCGCATGAAAGCAAAGAGTAATTTACATGTGCAAGCGAAAAAACTGCCGATTGCGCAACACCACATATCCATGTACGATGAATTTCTTGAGGCACGACCGTGCATGAGACCAGCCATGAGACAGGCCGCGTTTTTGTCTGAGAAGTGTCTAATGTATATTAGTCATGGATTATCTTTTATCATATACAAGCTAGCCAACTCTGAATAGCTCAATCGATCAAATTACACAAAGGCAAACGACAAACGAATAGTATTGTAAAGAATAATATAATACACTGTTCGTCTTCATTTAATAGCGGTTTCAGCGTTTCTTAGGCCGTAGGCCTGTCGCCGATTCTTAACATCACAGAACATTCACAACATTTTGCGGTCTCGAACTCGCAACGCACTGCTGCAATTCTGCTGTGCTTAACCGCCCGGTTTCCTTGCCGATTCTGACCAGAAACTGGCGCACAGAGCTGTGGGATCGAACCGGCGCCTCTCTGCTCCAATCTTGGTACTCTGAACTTTAACCACTGGGCCACCCTGCCCAGTTAGACCTAAATCAAATTGAGTTAAACCACTAGACGTACAGAACAGCGAGATGTCAATAAATTTGTTGTGAAATTTATTCGAAAAATTAATACTACAAATTGTGTAGAAATGCATAGAATCACATTTAAATCGAGATAACTCGCCAAAAAAAAAATTTAGGTTTGTAGTCAGCTGACTAGATTAATAATATTATTAAATTAGTAATAAATCAAAAGGCATATAGTAAGTCTTCCAAATTTAAGTCTTACGAAAGCCCTCTGATCTATACATTAATTTCAAGCATATCACAATTGCTATCTGATAATTAATCAACAGATCTGTCTAATATTTACCGTGGTTTCTCCTGAATTTAAAGTTTTCTTTCTCGATGTCGAGGTTTGGACTTGACCAATCATAATGCGCGTTCACTTAGATTGTTTACGATGTTCGTCACTCCGCTCAATTCAAAATCTGAGTCAGAAATATTGTCGTGTTTCTACCGCTGATATTTGTTTGGTTTTGTGTTCACATTGCTGTAAAATTTTTAATGATTAATTCGGATAAAAAATTATTTATCATAAATGTGGAATGTTCTGTCTTTGCAGCTCTAATATCAAATCTAATGCCAAATTTGTTTTTTAAACATCGAAACTTATTGTGTGCAGTCACAATGCAGATTGCACCAGACAGTGCAGTCACTGGAGACTGGAGTGCAGCAATGACTGATGACGATGACGATGAGTGATGTTATTAAAACGGATTTTTCGTGTGTCATATAATTTTTCAAATCCAATATCATATCAATTTTATTTATAAAAATTTCGTTACTGGTAGCTATTCTCAATAGCTAGATCTAGTTATATCCTGATAAGCTGATCAGACTGATCTTAATCCATTACCTATCCATCAAGCACAAGCAGTAGCCAGTAAGCACTCTTAGTCTTAGGCTATGGCTCAAAATCAAATACCTACTGAAATATGCTCTATTAGTTACGTCTTAACTTAACTGGCTAAGTAGCGTCACTATTCACAGTAATTCACTGAGTAGTAGTGTAGTACTCGGTAGTGTGGGCAGGGCAGGGTGGCCCAGTGGTTACAGTTCAGAACTTCAGATTACCAAGATTGGCGCAGAGAGGGGCGGGTTCGATCCCAGCTCTGTGCGCCAGTTTCTGGTCAGAATCGGCAAGGAGGCCGGGTGGTTAAGCACAGCAGAATTGAATTGGTGAGTTGTGAGTTTGAGACCGCAACAAGCTGTGGATGTTCTGCGATGTTAAGAATCGGCAACAGGCCTATGGCCTAATAAACGCTGAAACCGCTATTATTATTATTATTATTATTAGTAGCCTAGTAGGTACTAGGTCTAGGTACTCACTAGTCACTAGTGCCCCGTCACCGTGGCCCGTGCCCAGCACCATTTAAGAAAAATCCAAAGTGATTTCAGACCTATTCTCTATCTCAAATATGGTGGTAAACTGGTAATAGGGTATTATTGCAGATTAACTACATCCAAAAAAAAGGGTGTTTTTTTTAATTATATGTTTTTTGGGGTGTAGATTACGAATCTGAAATCCATTTTTGGCGGTCGGCATCGGAAAACCGATTTTTTGCAATAATACCTAAATGGATTTCAGATTCGTAATCTACACCCCAAAAAACATATAATTAAAAAAAAAACACCCTTTTTTTTGGATGTAGTTAATCTGCAATAATACCGGTAATAGTATTGCTCCCATTTGACTTGTAAATCAGAAATATAAATAAAGGCTTATACTTATAGAGCTTCAACTTACCTAGTAGGCTAGTAGCTACAACTTTGGTTTTTGCACTACTACGCTAGACTCAGCTAGAGCAGGATTGGAATTTTCCTACTTAATTCTGAAATCTTGCAGCTCCAATGTGATGAATTTTTATTACATTTGGAATCTCATTGCCTGATTGTGCAATTTTGTTAACAATTACGTAGGAGGTAGGATAAACTCATCATATTCCAACATTGTGGGTAATTTGGACACTTTTCAACTTATTCCTTTACATTAAGCTTTGTCTTAGTTCCACCGCTTCTGCGCATGAGTAGATGGTTGAAAATTGAAATAGTGATGTCATGCTATTGCGCGCAATATATTTCAGCAAAACATAGTCACTAGGTCTGGTGGGAAAATTTCAAGATCCTCAGAGCAAAAGTCTATGTCACCCAGTGAGAACATAGAAAAATGTGTGAAAGTTGATAGTTGACCTTGCTCTACCAAATAGTGATAAACTGTTTGTGTAGAAAGAATACCTATTATGGTTTGAGAATTTTAAATAAGTCTGTGAATACTGAATATATCAGGAATCCTTTAAGTATACTTGTATTTTCTGATTTTAAGTGGTAAATAAATTGATAGATGATTATGTTAAGAGATGATTTTAGACACATAAAAACTAATTCAGACACAGCTGGGAATTAGACACACACAGCTCGTTCCAATCTGTGTCGTATTCCGAGGCAGCTCACACAGGGTCCCGGTATCGGAATTCTAACACAGGGCGTCGGAATTACGAATTACGATTTTGAAGCGCTGTTGGAATTGGTCTCATGATATGCCGCATTTAGTCACACACGTGTCAGAATTCAGTGATTTTGTAGATTTGAATTCCAAAGGCTTTTCAATAAATATGGTAACAGTTTGTGATGTTTCATCATTGCTGGCGCATAGTGTGGTGTTTTGAGAGTGACATAAACCAATCAGAAATCGAGTTGCGCATACGGTGATCTATTTATAGCCATTTATTTCTTGCTATGTCCTTAAGGTGTCAGAATATGGAGTGTTTACCCTAATTCATCTGGCAGAAATCTTGCGGTTCCAAAAATCGCAGGAAAGCTCTAGTTGCAGCCCTAAAAGTAGAGGTTTTCCATGCTTGGTTCTGGCAGCTCACAGCTGGAGTGCTGGTAATTGGTGGAAAAGCTTATTAAGTTTCTAATTGTAACTTGCCAAACTGTCAATTTTAGCAGAAGCCACTCATGAATTGGACAATAATGCCCATGAATTTGTCCCGGATTTGGATCACAGAGAGACAGGAACCAGAATTTTTTGAGAAGCAATAGACAAGAGTGAAGAGTCTGACTAGAATTCTTTCAAAGTAAAGCAAATTTTTTGGTAGAAATGTTCTACTTTTCCTAAATGTTTTAGATAATTGTTTGTTAATTAGTTTGATTGAGAAATGGGCTTCTCTGTGACCAATGCAATGGTATCAATTTTGCTGTGAATTTTTTAAAATAAATTTGCAAAACTTCTATTAAAATGTTATAGGTTTTCAATTTGCCCAGTCAATTATTTTATTCAAAAAGTTTGCTAAAAATTTCAAATGATTTTTAACCTATTTTATCATGATCTGGTCCGACAAACTGGTCCAGGTACAACCGTCCAGGTTTAAGTCTGTTCCAGTTAGAACTATCATTTTACAGGCCATTTTTTTTAAATAGTAAGTAAAAATGTGCCATTTTTTGTATTTTCTATAAAATAAATTATGCATGGGCCATAACAACAGGTGACTGCAAGCACAAGCATCCTTCACAAATACCTGCTGCTATAATGGTAAATCAGAGATTTTTTAGAATCAGTCCATTTTTGATTGCTCAGCTGCTCTGCCACTTTCTGCCTGATTTTCCAGAATGAGGCAAGTCAAGGTCAGCAATTGAATATATCTACCTTCTGACTTTTGAGACTGCCTCTCCAGTCTTCACCATTTTTGGAGCTGCAATATTCCTGCTATATTGATTACCGCACATCTGACAGTTGAAAAACTATACCTACATTTAGATCATGAGATTCCAGAAAAATTTTGAATATTATTGCCCAAGAAGATTTACTTGATGCTTAGTGCTAATCAGGGAAAAGCATTTCAGATTATTTTAGGCTCATAACCTATCACCATAGATGGTTGGTCATAAGTGACACTGGACAGGCTTGTTGCACTGAAAATTCACCATATTTTAATGAATATGTTGAATTTCCTGTAAATTTTCATGACTTTAAATTCATTAATATTTTTTGGCAGCTCAATGTAAGCATTATACACTACACTTCTAAGTGCAATTCAAAAGTTGTGATTTACTGCACTTAGCTATGCCTTTGGTCACCCCTCTGAAGAATGCTGGCGGGAGACGGACTAATACTCCTAAAGCAGCTCCACAAAGTGCAGAAACTTCAATTAAAGATGGCCATTCTTCCAAAAAATTTGGCAATAGTTCAGTGAAACCTGCAGTTTTGAGTAAAACTCCACAGAAACCAACTCAATCCAGAACACCAATTTCTGGAACACCAGCTCTCTTGAAGAGTGAAGGAAGCTTGACATTTTCCAGCTCCTCGTCCTTGAGACCTAAAGCTTACGAAGATGCTGCTTTTACTCCCTCAAATGCACTTGGTAAAAGAAATCGAAGTCATCCTCTGAGCAAGCAAAGTTCTAGTGCCAACATTCCGGAGAAATTGAATGGTGCTACCACACCTCTGCAACCAAAATCTACTTTTATGAGGAATATTTCCACTGGACAAAGGTATTGAGATTTATTTTTATGTGCATCTGCAATTACCATGAAATGGGATGACTTGGATCATTTTTAGTGCTTACCTCTTCTTTGTACAAATAGCTGCATTGTAAATATATTAAATATATCTCTTTATTTATCTATTTCTTCATGTTATAGAAATTAATTAACTCCCTCAGTCAATGTTTATATACTTTAAAAAACATTTAGATGAACATACATTTCACTCATGAAGGAATTTTTTATTGTTCCCAACTGAACTACAAGAAACATTCAGTGCTCTCTTCATCCCCTTCTCAGTGAATTTAAACTATAATTTTGTAAACATATTGTGCATATATATTTAGGTATGCCTTTTTTCCACAGAGCCAGCCTTGATAGTAAACGCCGTTCAGTTGGCCAACTGCATCCACCAATAAGCCCTGCTGTAACACCAAAAATTCCCAAGGTGATTTGGAACATTATCTATTGTTTCATCTTATTGATTTCTAGTAATTTGCCATTGATCTTTTTAAGGTGCACTTTTGAGTTTAACAGTTTGTTTTCTACTCTATCAATTTTCCTCTGCTACTCATCTGTTACTTAATACTCTCATCTATAATTCACATTTTGTCATCTATCAAACCTCATTTCAGATTCATTGCTCTGAATGTGCAATAAGTTGGACAGGCATCAGCTTAAATGTAATTGCAGTTGAAGATAGAATTTTCTCATTTCTCCTGATAATTCCTCAGGTGCAGCCACATTGGTCTGAGTGTGGAATAGGTGACTGCAGCAGTCCTGCTTTGTCCAGCTCTCATCTCCAGCCAAATGCTGAAGAAAGCACGTCTGCTGTCACTGTGGCTGTCAGAGTTAGGCCTCTTTCAAGGAAGTGAGTCAAGCTCATGGAAACATGTTATACAGATGAAAACAACCACACATTCAATGTTGTCTTGGTAGCAGTTTTTAAAACGTCTGCCTTGTTGGCATCATTATTAAGGACAAATTTCAGTCTCAATAGTGTACAACAATTAATTATTTCTTCAAATTATGTTGAAGAAATTACATTCCAATGCATGATGCTAATTTTGTATCTTGTATAAAATTTTCTTCTGTTAAGCATTCTTTCTCTTTGTTTAGCCTAATGGCGCAGGATATAGGTACTGGCATGAAGTTAAGTTTAAGTTACATTACTTTCCTTGCACAGAATGCATGTCAAATACAATCTTCAACATAACCTGTTTCAAGATAGCTTGTATTGATTTAAACTTACTTAGAGATGAAACTTATCCAAGATGAAATAAAGCTATTACCAACAGTTGAACAGCATGAATTTATTTTTCAGGAAACTACCATATTGTTTGTTTATTTGATGAGCCAATTCCTTGATTTGATTCCTTGTGAATTTCTTTAGCAATGACCTCCATATCTCTTGATCTACAGAGAGCAAGAAACTGAAGGAGTTTCAAGAGCTGTGACTGTGGTTGGTCGGGAAATAACAGTTTTCTCAGACTCTTGTCATGCCTTCACTTATGACCATTGCTTCAGTGACAGCAACACGAGCCAGGAACAGGTGTATCATACCCTCATGAGGCCGTTACTGGACCGGGCTCTTCAAGGATACAATGCCTGTCTCTTTGCTTATGGCCAAACTGGTTCAGGAAAAACATACAGGTGCATTTCAGGAAATTAATCTATTTGATAGATTTTTTCCCACTATTTGAATTGGATTTGTTACTTATTTTTAATATTTTCTGATAAAAAAATGTAGGCTTTTATTTTATTAAACTTGTTGATAATATTCATAGGCAGTTGACTCCAAATTCAAATTTTATTTTAACTTTAAATTTATCAGATGAACTATTCTTGTTTTTTGGCAGAACTTTCCTATCTGAATCATTGAGCCATTTGAAGTATGACTTGGCCACTGTCAATACTTGCAATATTCCATCTGTGCATTAGTAATTGAATCTTATCTCCTACCGTATGTTTTGCATTGAATTTTGTTCTTTGCATCCAGCCATGATTGAATTTATAGTCCAACTGTCTTTTCAGAAGCACAAAATTAATTTTATTAACATTATTGATGTTATATTCTTTTCTATTTGCAGCATTCTTGGCAGCGAATCTGGCCCAGATGCGGGCATCATCCCACGCTTCTGTTGTGATCTCTTCAGTCGTCCTGAGGTCAAGGGACGCACGGCTGGCAGTCCTTCCTTGTCTCTTCCTGCCACTCCTGCTCAGGTCAAGCCTCATTCTTTAGTACGACCTTCATGAGGAATTATAGTAATAAGTGAAGTCTAAATTATACCGACTTTTTTCACCCCTAGGAAAATGTAGAGAACAGGAATTGTTTTAAAATGATTTTAGAAAACTCTCCAAATATACCATTGTTGAAGTGCCATGTCATCTTGAGAAAATTTTAGATATTTGTTTTAAAAAGTCAATTTTTAACTAAACAATTCGTGGTCAAAACTGGCTATGCATAATTATTTAAGTGTTGCTGTAATTTGTAATGATTTTAAATTTTTCTCATGGCTTTATTTGTGCAGGACGATGAGCGAGTGCAGTTCCAAGTGGAGATGAGTTACGTAGAGATCTATAACGAGAAGCTCTACGACCTCGTGGGTGAAGAGGATGAGGAAGGGGCAGTGCGGGAGGCTCTGCGTGTGCGGGAACATCCCACACTTGGTCCACACATTGTGGGAGCCGCGGTGCACCCTATCACCAGTTATGAGCAGCTCAAGGTTCATATTATTGCAGTCCTTCACCTTTTCCGTTGAAATTATCTTGTAGATTAGTGCAGTGAATGAATGATTGTCAATGTCCAGCAATGAATGAATGTTCTGCAAAGCTTACTCAAAAGTAATTGGTTCTCATGCTTATACTTCACTGAATTTTGTTATTTTCTGAGTTTAGACATTAAAATTTTTCTGAATTTTTCATTATTTTTATGGGTGATATAGTCGTAGCAATAACATGAGAGTAATAGCATTGAAAAACTTATAGTTTTGTTGTACTGTGCTATTACAGCAAAACATCAGATAAGTTGTTTCTTAGAAGTGCAAGTCCTGTATTTTTACTGATTAGATAGTACCTATATTTTTCTCCAGTATGTTTACTGATGAGAAATTTTTGTTTGCAGATGTGGCTGTGTCACGGCAACAGGGAGCGTTCCATAGCTGCTACTGGCATGAATGAGAAGTCATCGCGGTCACACTCAGTCTTCACGCTGAAGCTCACTCGCACTCAGGTTAGAAAAAGAACCGCCACTCTTTCTGTACATACTTCATTCCATGCTTGGTTTATGTTATCTTTGAAGAATCTTCATGATCTCCCAATGAAGAAAAGCTTGAAATTATGATTCTAATAGTGTGTTTGATAATTGTTGGACCATTTACTTTAATTACTTTCAAAATCTAAATTTTTTTGGCTACTTATGCAGTAATTTATTTATGAGCTGGCATGCCGATTTCTTATCAAATTATTGGCTGCATTTAAATGAGGCTCATCTCTAGCGATGAAGTGTCCTAATTTGCAGGTTATTTCAAATACACTGCGCAGTACAAATAGTTTCTGCTAGAAATAGATTTTCTTCATTAAAGGTAATGTTAATTTGCCGCATTGTCTGCCAAATTACTGATTCTTGATAGCGTTTTTATTCATCCTGTAACTTATCTTGGCTAACTGTAAGAAATTCAAGTGGCATCAATTGCCGGCGGTTCTTTCGATTCGTGTTTTTTCCAAGTAATTTATCATAAGGCTGGAGGAGGTTAATGTGATAAGTAGTATTAGGAGTTTTAGTTGGCATTTGTGAACAACCAGCAAAACCATGATTGGAACAGTTTATTTGTTTTGGAATAATGCCGCAAAATTATTATGCTAGGTAGTGTAATTAATTTTTAAATGCATTCTTAATAATTACTTGCAGACGGAAAGCGTTGGAGGAGAGGAGCTTCAGCACAGTCGTGTGAGCAACATAAGCATTGTCGACCTGGCGGGCAGTGAGCGCATCGGAGCCTCTGGTGGCTATGCTGACAGAATGAAAGTGAGTATAAATCAGCAGTAAGTTTGAACTTTTCCTATTCCAATTTCTTCTGTTGCTAGCTGTTATTCCGTAAAGCGAGTTTCAGTCAACCTTAAGTTCAAACTCTTTTGCATCCTGTAACATTGACAATTCAAATTTTAGCAATTTTAGAGACTACTGTAACTTCAGTTATTTATTTTTTGCTTCTATCGGCTTGTTTATCCAACCAAATATAATTGAAATTTGTTGTAAATTGTATTTAAGCATTTGTTTCATTTTCCCGTTTTTTATCAAGGTCCACTGACTTCATCCTCCCAATGTTTGGTTTTAGCTTAATTTTGAGAGTTTATCCATTTTTTTTAAATAAATTAATATCTGTTTATGTCGTCAATAAATAATTACTCACTGTTCATGAGTGCAGGAGGGCGTTTGCATCAACAAGTCGCTGCTGACGCTGGGCAAAGTCATCACAGCGCTCGCCGAGAGCGCCACCGGCAAGCGACGCTGCTTTGTGCCGTACAGAGAGAGTGTGCTCACGTGGCTCCTCAAGGTGAGCCTTCACACGAGCCTGTGTCTATACTTTCAAAAAAAGTTAAGAGATCGTAAGTTCATCAGCCAATCATTGACGGCCTTTCAAGCAAAATCCACCAATCATAGACAAGAAAATAGAGCGTAAGTACTTACGTTAACATAGCGAGTTTTAAAAAATTGCCCCAGAAGTATTCCTTTTTTGGGATTATGTATAATAAATCTAACTTGTGAGCCACATGAAATTCCTAATAATCGTCAGCAGCATAGTTTTTTTCCTAAAGCCCAATGCAATTTAGTGTCTTATGTATGTCGCATGCTTATTATTCTAAACTGGGGTTGTTAAATAATGGATTTGGGTTATCGAACCTAAGACCACGCGCTAGATAAGATTACCTGTCTTGTCTCATCCTTATCTCTATATTAGATCCAAGCAGCACTTTCTTCCCATTTTACCTATGGCTAACCTTATCCAATTCTATTTTAGTGCATTTTTCATTGTGTTCAAATTTCTGGCTATATGCATACTTCAGTTCGGATTTAAACAATACATTTCCAGACTTGGAAAATAAATTACAATTCAAAACTTGTAATACAATTCCAAACTAGTATTTCGTACTGGAGTATAAAATTCCAATATAATTGGAACCCTAAAGCCAATTTTGACGTAACCTTGCGTACAGGAGTCATTGGGAGGCAATAGTGAGACGGCCATGTTAGCGACCATATCTCCTGCCAGCTGCTATGCCGAGGAGACACTGGCCACCCTGCGCTACGCTGGACAAGCTCGCAACATTGTTAATGTGAAGCACATCAACGAAGACCCCGCCGCCCGCATCATCAGGTCAGAATAGCTGCCAGTAAACTTCATAATGTTGTGGAATAAAATGGGAATGAGTATATTATAATCTGAATGCAAGTGCACTCCATATGACAACTTATAAAATAAAATTTTCCAAAATTCATAATTGATCTGATCTCTCGAAAAGCCTATATGCCGCGAATTGAATGGTAATTTGGTTCAATGAGATTCATAAATTATATATTACCAGTCGTTGAAACAGAAACGCACCTGCCACTTGAAGTGTTGAATGTGTGCCTTTCTTTGTTTTCAATTATTTTGTTCACTCTCAGGAGCTTGAAAGCCGAAGTTGAGAGACTGAGAGCGCGCCATTCGCTACGCGTGTCGCCAACGAAGCTGTTCGTCACAGAGCGCAGTCCTGTCACTCCTGCTAACCATCAGAAGAAGACCAACGAACAACTTGCAGAAGAGGAGGCTAGACGCGCCGAGGAGATGCTAGTTAGAGAGCGCGAAATAGCTGCTCTGAAGCACGAGTTATCGTCTTGCACAAGTCAACTGCACCGCGCCAAGGAAGAATGGAACAGACGCCTGGAGAAGTCGGCTCGTGCTGCTGCGGCTGCACTGGGGCGATGCGAGAAAGCTGGTATTTTTGTACGGGATGTACTGCCCTCCGACGAACGGCCGTGCCTCGTGAATCTCTGCGACGACGAACAGCTCAGTGAACATCTTTGTTATGCGTTGAAAGATGGAGCAACGACGTTGGGCGCTCAGCACACCGACCTCATTCTCAAAGGGCTGCACTCTTCTGGCGTTCATTGGTGAGTTTTTCAGCTTACTAATCTTTTTTATTCAACATTTTTATCAAATCTAATGCTCTGTCTACATTACTAATGTGTCTACATTACTAATTTGGGTTGAATGCAACTGAAAAGGTTCTTTAGATACTATAAAAATACTATTACTACATCCACGATCAAATTCATTCATTAGACACGTCACTCAACTAAAATGCACTTCACTCTTGGACTTGATTAATTGTGCTCTTTGACCGTATCTACATGTTCACAGTTTGTTGGATTCAGTCAGTTTTATGTCCTTAACATTTTTCAAATTTGTATTTTCTTGGTATTGCAGCACAATCTACAACGACCAAGGCAGTCTCTCACTCAAGGCCACCTCCGGCTGTGAGGTCTTTGTCAACGGTGAACTCATTGAAGAAAATTGCATGCTACGCCACAAAGATCGACTTGTACTTGCGGGAATATATTTCCTTCTTGTCTGGATTCCCAAAGACGAAACTGCAAATTCTGGGTCCAATGACACCAAAAACTTTGCTTATGCGAGAGAAGAGCTTCTCCGATGCCAAGAACAGCGACTTCGGAAACAAATTCTTGAAGAAGAAGAACTGGCGCGTCGTGAGCTGCTTCAGGAGTTGCAACTGAAAAAGCAGTCCGTCCAACAACTCCAGCTGAACCTGGTTCGTTTCTAAGTGAACCTTTTAATTTAATTCTGATTAAAGATGTCGGATTTTAATTCGAATATTGATGTCTGTACTGATGATTGCATTTTAATTTCACGTCCTAAATAGAAAGATTCTGACAAAATGCAACTTCGGATAGGGTAGCAATTGATATATCTGAGACAATAATACAGGTAACTTTGATCTAATAATTCTAAGATATGAGTTATGTTTTAGCCAACCATTATACTAAGCAAAATTTTAAAAAATATGTATCAGAAATTACAATTGGGTATCGAAGAGATGTATTTATGATACAAATACGAATATAGGATACTCGTATGTCAGTCGTCCCTTGTTTTCTGGCGACGAGCGTGGAATAAATACTATTACCTTATAATTTCGTCCTTGTCAATGTTGCAGGAGCAACAAGAAAGCTGCAGAATGACTGCAGAGCTGCAGCAGCATCGTCTGCAGGTCGAAAAGATGGGACTACAGGAGCGACTGCAGCAGTACGAACGAAACTTTAATGCAGGATCTTCTTGTGACGATTTAGATAAAACTGTCGGAGAAATTTCGTTGTATGAGGCTCCACAAGATTCAAACTTCTCTCAGAAAGTGAGGGTTTTTGATTTAGCTTTAATGAAAATAATTATGTGAAGCCTAGCTCTAATTTTCACTAGTTTTAAGCTGATGTTCCGTTGCGAAATGCATAAGTATTTAAATAGATAAAATAGTACCTATTCATTGTCAAAGAAGACTCAAAATACTGATTTTCTTTTCAACTTCCTTCAAGTAATTTTAGCAAGTGTATTGAGCATATCTAATATTCTTCAGGTTGTGCGGACTGCTCAGCAAACTATACATGTCACCAATCGTTGCTGGCAGTCTTTCGCTTTACTCTTTTTTATTCTATTTACTTATTATTTTTATTACTTTATTTAGCATTTACGTACCAATATTTTTCATCCCGTCGAGTTCTTACTAGAGCCAAAGCCTAATTTGACTAACTCGTCAAATTTTTCAGATTGAGGAAGAGCTTCTGAACGAGACTGTGTGCCAGCTTGAGGCCGCTCACACCCAAGATAAGGTGCCTCTCGATGACATCGAACTTCTCTTCTCTGTCCGGCGTGCCAACGCTTTATCTGAAAACTATGCTGTTCCAATGGTGAGTTCCTGACATAGGTTCTTATTTGAAGCAAGAATTCTAATCCATCAGAATCTTACCTTTTCTTATAAGTTAGGCTAATATTCAAAGTCGCTTTGTCCTAATCTTAATGGCTAAGTGTTTTATCTTTCTTATTCAGTACGTAACAAAGATGGCAGTAGATATTTTTAGCTCAAAATTACAGAGATTGCCGACTGATTTGCATATTGCCTCCTGCAATAATTAATTTTTGCTTTTAAGTGCTCGCGTTACGGCTTTTGAACTGAACTCCTCTATAATACGTGCACGTTAGTTCCAAAAATTATTATTCAATAAAATTCAATTAATGACATTCACTCTACTTCTGGCTTTACATGTTGAAACATTTTACACTTGAGAGGATTTACCCCAGTTAAAATTTTTGACATTTTTTTACATTGCATTCATTGAGCGAAACATTTCAGAATTGAACACATTTCCCATGATATTGTTGGTATTGTGAGTGCAGAGTTTCGTGGCACAGCGGGAGGTGCTGGCGAAGCGTAGCAGCAAGGGGCGGGTGTTGGTGCGCCACTCAGAACTGCAGCTGCGTGCGCTGCTCACTGCTGCTCAGTTCTCAGAACTCTTCACTGCCCTGCAAGACTTGCCATCTGTCAGTCACGAGTATACAGCCGTAATCCAATTACTATAACGCTCTATTTTAGGCCTCTATTTTTATATTCTTTCTACAATAAGGCTCTATTTTTATATTCTCCTACTGCTGGTACTTGACTATTTTTATAAACTATTTTTATTCTAAAAACTAACATTTTCTTCAATACTAAATAACATTATTTTTTGTTAAGCAATCAAGAAGAAATTAATCACTTTTGCTAGATTCCTCTTCAGCAAACCTGTAATTACTTAAGAAGTAATACTTGTTATCAACTTTTAACAATATTGTAATCACATAAATTATTCTTTAGCCACATCTTCAGATGTCATAGTTACGAAGTAAGCTTTTGAATGAGCCTCTAATAATTTATACATACCGCGTTAGGAGTTAATGAATTAACTTTATGACAGTTTTTAAGTTCAGGTGTCTAATAGAAGAAACGCTTTGTATGTCATCCAAGGTTTACAGTAGCGAGAAAGAGAGCCAACTATGTATGATGATCCAAGGCTGTGGTTCTAATTAAATCTTTCTTCAGTGCTGCCCATGTACAAGTATTAAAGTAGGATAATATGCAATTATTGTTACTAGCATTGTAGTAGTCTCGCATAAATTTCCTTAAAGTAGTTATCAATCGTTGGCTCCCGTTTTCTTCCTAACTTTGATCCTAATTTCCCGTGATGCAGGGTCGCAGTTCTGTAACAGAAGTGATGTCTATGATTGAATGGGATGGTACGTCCGAGGATCTTGGATGCTTCCCCTCGCCGGCCCGCCTCAACGTCAGCTGTAACTCCGACGTCTCATTCAATGCTACCATGAACTCGTCTCTGGATCACAGCTTCGTGTACGTCTCAGGCCTCAAAAACTTGACTACCAAGCCAGCGAAGTCAAGTAAGTGAAACTACTAAAGTATCGCAGATTTTTTTTAAGCTTTGTGTGTCGCATTTTTTCACGTTCATTTCATCCGAATTGAATTTTGTCTATTATTGTTTTTCCGTCTCCACTCCCCTGGTTATTATATCATTGTTGTTGCCAGGATCGTCGCTGTGCGAAGTTGGTTCTGCTCGCGGCACTGCCAGCAGCTGCATCGCCGCCCTACAGGACGATGGAGCCCTTTGTTGCGGGCAGCACCTTGTGATTACCGCCCTCAACACCGCTGTGCTACTCTACTATAAGATGCTGGTCAGTGTTTGTTCTTTGTGTTAGATGCTGGTCGGTGTTTGTTCTTTGTGTTAGATGCTGGTCGGTGTTAGTGGTCTTTGTGCGAGATGCTGGTCAGTGTTTGTGGTCTTTGTGTTAGATGCTGGTCGGTGTTAGTGGTCTTTGTGTGAGATGCTGGTCTTTGTTTATGGACTTTGTGTGATATGCTGGTCAGTGTTTGTGGTCTTTGTGCGAGATGTTGGTCAGTGTTTGTGGTCTTTGTGCGAGATGCTGGTCAGTGTTGGTGGTTTTTGTGCGAGATGCTGGTCAGTGTTTGTGGTCTTTGTGCGAGATGCTGGTCAGTGTTGATGGTCTTTGTGCGAGATGCTGGTCTCTGTTTATGGACTTTGTGTGAGATGCTGGTCTGTGTTTATTTATGGTCTGTGCTACTTTCGTTCGGTAAGATTCGTAGTTGCGTTGGAAGCACACTGACACTTCTATTCGTGCTTCTTGATTACCAGCAGGTCTCTCTACTCTTGTGTTACCATCAATACTTATTTGTGGTGGTATTAAATTTCATGCCTACTATTGCTTGATATAAGTTATTACTTTTTAATTGAGCCTTTCGTCTTTTTTTGCTTGAATTCTTCTCTTTAGTGTTTGCTTGTTTAAATTCATCATACCTCTCTCTTCCCATTTCAGAGCGCCCAAGATGACCTGAAGAACAGTTTATCTGAGAGCGCTTTACAATACTTCCAAGACTTCATGGTGTCTTCCGTGGCGGACGTACGATGTTTACGTGTGTCGCTCGCTAACTTGCTAAGCGTTCCTCTCTCGAACGCCGGGCATTTTCGCAACCCCGCCAGGAGAGAGCGATACAGCGATGCTTCTGTATCTTCTAATTCCAAAGAAACGAACAAAATGGGAAATACAAATTCTGACAGCAAGGAGTTGCATGAATCGCTGCCAAACGTAAGCGAACTCAACGAGGCTGTGCCAGCGTTCGAGGAGATCGTTGTTGATGCTTTCGTCGCCACAAACTCGGCGCTCACGTCGCTATTCCAGGTACGCTGGTAGACTTTTTATAAACATTTTTTCCGTTAATAAATTCGCCCATCATGTTAGTAAATATTATAATTCTCCATCCATCATTATTGTTTAGGCAGATAAAATCATCATATTATTAGGAACGTCTTTAGAATGAGTGTGTACTTAATATTGCAATTCAATCTGTCAATTAATTATATCCATACTTGAAATAATTATATCCACGCAATATTTCTCTCATGACACTACCACAGACTTCTTTGACGAAGCTGAGCCAACTCTTTAAGAAAACGAAGAATGTATAAGTTATTACGTTTTCCTTTACCGGACTGATGAAACTACTATCTGATTTTTTTAATACACTGTATCTGCCTTCTGCGCATAAGATTGAAATATAACCTCAATAAATATATATCTTTTATGTAATTTTTTACTATATTTATCCGTAGTTGTTATTGTTTTTTTTAATTTATATTACACGCTTTTGTGTTCGGCGCAGTGTGTCAAGGCCGGCAGCAGGCGTGCCAGCAGTCAGGCCTGTACCGCGGCGTGCAGACTCGGCCGTGATCTGGTGTCGGCGCTAGCGGCGCTGCAGCTGCTGCGACTAGCTCAGGAGTCCACTTATTTCAGCTGCCCTAAGCCCCCCAGCCACGGTACGTTTCTGTGGATGTTGACTGCACTTATTTCAACTGCCCTAAGCCCCCCAGCCACGGTACGTTTCTGTGGATGTTGACCGCACTTATTTTGACTGCTCTAAGCCCCCCAGCCACGGTACGTTTCTGTGGATGTTGACCGCACTTATTTTAACTGCCCTAAGCCACCAAGCCTCTATATTCTTATCTATGAATGTTGACTGCACTTATTTCAACTACTCCAAGCCACCCAGCCACGATACGTATCATTGGACGCTGGTCGTTGCTCCGTGAGTATTTATTTTTGACTGTAATTATGTTCCCTCAGAGTGCACCCGAGCCACTCACTCACGGAACGGCTCGCTTCGAACGCCGACCGTCGCTCTGCGGCTCTATGATTTTTTCCTCTATCCGTTTGATTACTTTTCTTATGTAATCAAACTTCGCCATTTTTCAGTTCAAAATACCTAATCGTTTTTCATTTTATTTACCCGCTCTGAACGTGATGTTTTGAAGCGTCCAACACTTGCTAATTCATTAGTTTGTAGTAAATTTCCTATTCTAAATTTGATATCATAAAAATTAGTTGAACCGTTTTTTTTGAGATCTCAATGTTGGATGGTATCGCCAGGTTAATGTTGATCGTCATCATTTCCAACTACAAAATGAAAACTGCCACTATCAAGCTTCTTGTTCTTTTTAAGGTTGAAGTTTTATGATGGAATCGTTAGTCTGCATCCATACGAAGGTTTTATCTCTGAGACTTCGCATTCATGAACTATATGGAAAACTGTTGCTACACTGATTATTGTTGTTGCTATTGTAGCAACTGACTGTTGCTACAATACCTATATCAGGCATAGTTCGTTGGAGTTTTACTAATATTCATAGATGTGCAGTATGTTTTTATTTCATCGGTTTACGTACTGATCTCGAGCTTGTCACTGACATAATGCTGAGCAGAAACATGTGGTGAAGACTGCGCAGCGTGTGCAGCAGTGCTGTCGGCGGTGAACCGTGGCGCCATGCAGAGCCTCCTCACCGCTCGGTCTGTGGCGCAACTTCAAAATCGGTGAGCTCCTAGCCAGGAATTTTGTCATTTTTTAGTAAACTTCGGAACGTTAGTAAAAAGAGTTTGGCATCAAATACTGGAATGATTTCACAAAATTTAGCTAATTAACATTGGTTGTTGCAGTTTTTGTCGTGGAGGAAGTGACATTAACACCGCTGCGTCAAGCTTGCAGTCCAAGCTGCTTCGAGTGTTCGACGCTGCTGTGTCTGTCATGCCTCCTAGAGGAGACGAGACGCTGTCACTGGTGCAACTGAGACTAAATATCTCAGATGCTCAGCAGCTTTACCCTCACCTCTTACAGTTGTTGCTACAGCTTCAAAATGTCGCGGCTGCGTTCGCAGGTAAAGAGCTCCCTCGCTCTTCTCTAATTCGGTTGCCTTTCCTCATTATTGTATGTGTTTTATGTAGATTTGTTTTTTCTTCATTGAGCACACGCAAGACTAGAGCACCTCTGCTCGAGTCTTCAGCCTAATACCTCAAGTATTCAGCCTAATACATGAATGTAGACTAGTAAATGTGTATAGTTCAGTATATGTCAATGTGGTAACCTGCTTTCCAACGATATCCTTTCTATCAGATGGTGCCTCGGATCGTGAACGCCGTTTGCCGGAAGTTTGTGAGGCATTAGAGTGGCCTTTAGAAGGAACTCTGGAATTTATACCAATTCTTCGTCAACGTCTCACTAGTCTTCCCTCGCTACCCACATCCCGCGCCAACGAATCGATTTCAAATTCCACAGATAAGACCGTAGTCATCAATGAGTTTCATTCAGCCGCTTCTGAAGCCCAAGTTGCTTTAAAATTTCTTTCGCATTTGCTCAATTGTGGAGAAAAGAAAGAACCTGAACTCAGCCGTATAAATATTGTCAACAACAATTACACAAATGGGCAAAAATTGTCGCGAACTTTTCATGATACCAGACAAAATGTTCCAACAATAACGATTCAACATGCTGATGGAATGAATTCGCGGGATTGTAGCAGCAAAAGCAAACCGAACTCAGAACCGGAGAGAGTTATAAAGATTCCTATCGTTGGGAGCAACGGTGTAAATTCTCCCAAACGTATAACTAGCGCGAAATTCGATGACCAAACTTCTAGCGCTTCGAAAGGTGAGCAAAAATCAAAAGAAAATGACTTGAAAGTATCAAGTGCAACAAAGTCGTCAAATCAAGATGATGGAGACAGTACTCTGCTCAAACTTTTTAAGGAAATGGACTACTACGGTTCAGTCTACAATAAAGACTATGCCTTTGATTCACTGAGAAATGAGAAAGATAGGCCCATCTCTAATGGCAAAGAAAATGCCTCTCCTCGTAATAAGTCATCTCCTGCTGCTCGAGATCCAAAACAGACTCGACATGTACTGCGTTCAGTACGGATTGAGATCAGTCCCTCCAAGAAAACCCCTCCTTGTCTTATCACAACAAATGCTCGTGACACACTCACTGCCGGAAGCCGTGAACGCCCCAAGACACCGCGAAAAGGTACCCCTACAGGAAAAGAATCGAATAGAAACGGAGTTTCCTCTCTGGTCAAAGTGTTCTCTGTGAAAAGCAGCCCTCTGAATGGCTCTGAAGGGCATTCACCAACCGTCGCTCAGCAAAAGCTGGGCAAGAAGTCCACTTTGATGTCACCGACTCGACTCTCAACTCTTCCGGGAATTCATAAATTAATATTCCAATTAGCATAATCTTTCAGCGACGATTTGAAAAGGCGAGATAGATCGTTTTTTTAATGCCATTTTCAACAGATTTTACACAAATGAATCGCAGTACGAAACTGAGAATCATTAATTAGATTTCATTTTTCCTGTATCTCAATTGCTCCTAAGTTGTTCCAGGCTTCACAAATTGTTCGATTAAGTTTATATGGGCTTCACTTGATGTCGGTTCTGAACTCTAGTCTAGTGTCTCTAGTACAACTTTACTGGGATAATATATTAATTCTTAGGTTATTAAGTAAACATAGATTACCGTGATCATTTTGGGCCTTATGTGAACTTCCCTCCGTTGTCCTGATTTGTGCTGTTTTGCTTTTAACTTTCTCAAGTACTGAAATGAACTTATTCTATGATTAGTCCAGCATTTGTTTGTTTAGGTGTTGATTTGAACTGTGGAAACGCACTTGTTTGTTTATTGTCTGTAGGAGAAGTAACTGCTGGTGAAAGAAAACTGTACTTAAGCTTATACAAGAGGGTTTATCTAAAGAAAAATCCCTCACATGTACGGTGTACCAGGTTTGATTTTTACTTTCACATTTTTTGATTCATTTCACTACTCGTGCTTGTCTGTCTAATACAAGCAATTATAGTATTTTTTACTTGAAAGACCGTGCGTTTCTGAAGCTTGTTTACTCCTCTATTTGCTTCTGAAAAACTTGAAGTTGATGTTAAAATCATATTTTGTTCAACTATCTGATTGTACTGAAGTTGCCTATCCTTCATCGCGCTTATTAATCTTGTTTCGAGCTCCGCGATAAGTAATCAGTCGCTTCAATTTCAGTATTCATGCATATTTGAAATATATTTTTGAAAATAAAAATGTGTATTATTTTAAAATAACAGATATATATTTATTTTCTTACTTGAAACCTGTGATCTTCGAACAATTCTTCTAAAGTATTTTGTGCAGAACAAGAATTGCAGTGATTATGTTCAGACCATCTTTTACAAATATTAATTGAACGTACAGTTTTACCTTGTGCTTCGTATTTTACAAATATTCCCATCTCATTAATCATTAGTCACTTTGTTATTTATTCGTGCCCTTCCAAAAATAAGTGATTATTTATGCGTTGTCATATCTTTAAAATCATAATTATTAATGTCGCTAGAGTGTGAGGACGGACGGCGGGCGGGTGGAATTCAAGATATGATTCGTACATTCAATTTCGATCTATTCGGAGCCCTTGCTCGATCCAATAATGTTGTGTAGATTATTAATGAAACGATCAGTTCCAGTTGATCCAATCATGTACTCTTCAAGTATTATCACCTCCAAATTCTGACCTAACTAGTCACCCATGTTTCTGGATAATGCGATGCTCGCTCCGACGTCGTCTTTTCCACGTGTCTGGCCGAAGCAGTGCTGCTGCTCGCCTTGTAAATATGCTACGTAAATGAATTCCTAGAAATTAGCTCCTAAAAGTAGCAATAATTTCTGCAACTACAAAAGTTGTTCCTTGTTGCATATGAATATAAAAATATTTATAATGCGTTTAGCAATTAAATCATGATGTATTAAAAGGTGAATGAAATTATATCTAAGGAAAGACGCGCCACTGTGAGCAAGTTTCATTAATCCATAAAAACCGGCATTTCAATCGCTAATAAGTTTTGGTGGTGAATCAAATCTCTTGCTCATATTACAAGAAGTTGAGTTATGCTCTACACAAATTCATAAAGTCGCAAATTAGTAAATTGTCCAGTTTTCGGTGAAGCCTGCAATAGAGGTTCTCCATGAATGAAATGATCTTTCTCTTTAGGCTGTTTCAATACTTTTTTTCCTTTCTAAATTCACCAGCATTATAATCCTGTCCCGATTTATTTAATGATTATTTGTTCGTATCACCCTGAAATTATGGCATCGTAGCCCGACATGTGTTAAGAGAGGATTTCTTATCTCGTGTACGTGAGATACGAACTCTAACCTGCACTGCTATCTTCTGAATAATTGACGGTATCTATTCTTCTTATCTTGAACGTGACTTGGTAATTTCATTTTTAGCAGTTGTCCTGATATGATTACTTCGCTCACGAGTATGAGGCCATCAAGTCATCATTTGAATGCATGAGTTTTCCAAGACAAATTTCAAAAATTAGGTCAATAATGAAACCTTGAATTTTAGGAAGTGAAGCTTAGTCAACGGCGGCTTGATGCTTATTGAAGACTATGATCCATTTTTCCTACTCAATTTTTAGAACTTCAGCCAAGCTATATAAATTCAAAGTTATATATTGTCCATTCAAATGTACGATTAGAACTTTCTGCTGCTTCTCATGAAAACACAATATTGAACAGGAAAATGCTGCGTGGCATTTTTCTTTCTCAAATATTGGTACTCTGCTTAATTTTAACAGGCAATGCAGATTAAAGAACATCGTATATGAGCTTAACTTTACCAAAATTCAACATTGGAAAAAATTTGGTTTTAACAATACTTCAGAAGAAAATTTCCATTGTTCATCATCACAAATTAATATATTTTTTCTGGGACGAAAAATCTCACGAAAAACACAGGCGTACGAAGTCTCGTACAAAATCTTGCACAATTAGGGTAACAATAGATAAGACATGATATGACTCAGCAAGAATCAAGCCATGCGAAGACTCGGCCCTTGTTTACACGCTAATAGTTATCTCTGTAAGATAAGCATGATTATATCGAAACTACTTACGTTCATCTAATTCGTTATCTGTTGACCTGAGACCAATAGTGCTTTCGCTTCAATTTACGCTGGATTTTGTTGATTCGAAAAGTAAGATATTTTTTTATTTGTGATTGATTCTTCTGGAGATCATTTTTTCTATAGTTAGAAAGAATATTTGCATGTGAGCCTAAAGTTGTGAACCGATCAATAGTAATCGACATTTGTTATAATGTGTTGACAAAATAACAATGCGATTATATTAAAAAAACATGAAGACGAACTTTTATGTCATTTATAGTTTCAATTGGCCTTGGAATGTCCGTTCCCATCAACTATCAGTATGCTGATCTATTAAAAGACAATAGAGTATGATTGAGTTGTATTCAACAGTTGTATTGCATTCATCAGTTCAATGAGCGGCTGAGGCTAAGCCAATTGTCCGTGCGCGATCAGCGACGTAAGAACTGCAGGACGACAATCAGCAAGGTCGATCTATCGCAAATACTGACGAATGATGTCGATCGTATGTATCGTCTATCGCAAATGGTGATGAAGGCTGTCGATCGTATGCATCGTCTATCGCAAATGGTGATGAAGGCTGTCGATCGTATGCATCGTCTATCGCAAATGGTGATGAATGCTGTCGATCGTATGCATCGTCTGTCGCAAATGGTGATAAAAGCTGTCGGTCACGGGTCGGGGAAGTATTATTCTCGACGATCGTTTAAGAATTATTGAAAACCTCGGGTTAGCTCATTTCATTGTATGAGTTACACACTTGTTGCATTTATAAGCAAATTAGCAAACAATTCAAAACATAACTCGTGTATGAACGAATATAATTAATTTTGAAACATTTTCTATTCTATTCTATACATGAAAATTGTTTTTTGAAACTCTGGCCTGGCGGATATGAAAGCAATAATTGACCAATTCAAAGTTACGATGCTAAATAAATTTTTATTAGATCTATAAAGTATATTATGGTAATGACACAGATTTTTACAATCTTGAGGACCCTGCGTGGACCGACGACTGAGGTCTCCGAGATACTGGCAAAACCAACCGGCAGCCCCGCCCCCCGTGCCCCGTCAACGACAGACGACGTTCAGACTGCACCGTGCGTGGTTGTGCTGCTACGAGCTCTGACTGCTGAACGACATAGTTGGTTATAATATATAAATCATGGCAGACAAATGTGAGTTGCTCTCGTTGACGTTTCTATATATTCCGAATGGTAACCTCGGAAAATTTTGTTTAAAAAACGTTATCGGATGATTTTTTTTACACCTGGAACAATACAGAGTTCCTTTTTGGATTCGAATGCTTACCGTAGAGATTAATAATTTAAGATTATAATGTTCTGAGAATATTTCCATTGTTTTTTATCAGCAATACCATGGGACTGATGGAAGGAATCTAAGTTAATCTTACGATGTAATCCTCATGGAAGTCGCATCTTGCCGATCATTCAAGCATTCGTTTCCGATTTCATATCGCTGGCAACGCTGTAGTAGACTTCGATTCGAGAACAATTGAGCTTTAGCAAAAGTGAGAACCTCTTAGGCCTTTTGAATTCATATTTCTTTCTATCTGCGTTGAAAAAGAATGAAATTATATGTATAAAATTTCTAATCAAGCTTGACCAATCATTTCATTTTAGCGAAGCATACTGAAGTTCCAGAACATATTTATTGCTTCTATGATGATAATATCTACTAATATGTTTGCTGTAATCGGAACGTCCGGTGTCGGGCTTCAAGAACTTGTTCCTCACTTTAGTTTGTCGGTAAGCTGACACTCGACGCTTTTTGCCGCTGTTTAGCAGTTGATTTTCATCATAGATTCCTTGTTTCAATGAAATTTATTAAAATACTTGTTATATAGGTGTGATTGTGCATCAAAGTAATGCTTATTTATAAAATGTTTTCGTAATGTTTAAATGATGTTTATTGCAACTACTTATGTGGCCAAGCACTAGTTGCAAGTTCAGCAGAGCACCAAAGTCGTGAGTTGTTGGTTTGAATCTCGCAGAAAACCGCGAATGTTTCGGTTGAAATTGGCAAGGTGGCCGGGCGGTTAAGCACAGAACGATTGGAGCAGTGAGTTGCATGTCTGAGACGCACGAAAAGCTGTAAAAATTCAATATATTTAGAATCGACAGCAGCCCTCGTGGCCTAATAATATTCAACTGTAAAATCGATGTTATATTTACTACCTAAAATTAGTTCGATATTCACAAGAACATAACTTAGGTAAGGTTAATCCTAATCCTCACAGTAATTTGTTCGTTTGCATGAATTGGTTAAGTGTGCCATGCAAGTGGAGTGATTGTGCGATGTGTTCAGGCGTGAGGATTAAAAATAATGAGCTTATCTTGCCTGCTAAAGGAGTCGATCTGTATGCAAATTTCCCTCAGGCAATCGTATTCATTGAAGCGTTTATCATTTGATTTATATTAATGCATTAATGCTTTAGACATGCAAGGAAATTTTGTATATTTTGATGAAAGCGTTACGGGGAACAATTTTGTGTAATTAACACGTGAATTATGAAACTGTGATAGTTTAGAGGGCATAAAAGACTAGTAGATTGTTAGTATAAGATGTTCTGCCTAGAAAGCGTGATGTGCGAGTAGAGTGTTAGTAAGATGATTGCTAGTAGATTACTATGATGCATAGAACCGTAAATTCGCACTGTGCATAACTGTATATATGAACTATGGAAGATAAAGATATCGTGTTCAAGCAATCAAGAATTGACCGATCATAAATAATATATTTATAATAGGAAAAATTAGGAACTTGAAGCGGTGCATGAATAAAGTTTCTTATTCATGTGACTTTAGGGTGTGCTGTAACTGCTAATATCCTCAGCAAATTTTTTAGGAATTATATACTTCAATGGCTTTGATATTTTTTTCATTTTAGCGTAAAAAATACAAATCCAGACAATTTGATAGTTTCACCTATAATCATTTCACCTAAAATCATTTCACCTAAAATCATTTCACCTATGATCATTTCACCTATAATCATTTCACTTATAATCATTTCACCTATGATCATTTCACCTATAATCATTTCACCTATAATCATTTCACCTAAAATCATTTCACCTAAAATCATTTCACCTAAAATCATTTCACCTATAATCATTTCACTTATAATCATTTCACCTATGATCATTTCACCTATGATCATTTCACCTATAATCATTTCACCTACAATCACTTCACCTATAATCATTTCACCTATAATCATCTCATCTATAATCATTTCACCTATGATCATTTCACCTATAAACATTTCACCTATAATCATTTCACCTATAATCATTTTACCTATAAACATTTCACCTATAAACATTTCACCTATAATCACTTCACCTATAATCACTTCACCTATAATCACTTCACCTATAATCACTTCACCTATGTTGCAGTGGTGCTGGTGTCAGGGGTCAGCGGGTACGTGGCCAGTCACATCGTGAAGCTCCTACAGGAGTCCGGATATCGCGTCCGCGGAACAGTTCGCAGTCTGAAGGACGCCGCCCGCATCGCACCCCTCACTCAGCTCGCCAAGAACCCCAAGCACGGCCTCGAGCTCGTCGAAGCTGACCTAGTGCGCGATGACGGCTGGGACAAGTGAGACATTCAAATTACAATTGAATTTCTGAACATACAAAAGAAATTTCGACAAAAGAAATTTCCATGCTCATATGCACTTTTCATAAATTCATTTCCTGGATTGTAGATGCATCTCCCTAATTTATATAATTTTTTAGAGCCATGGAAGGCGTATACGCGGTGATGCACACCGCCAGTCCCTTCCCGCCCATCGGCGCGGACGTGAAGGAAGAAGCGATCTTCCGTCCCGCCATCGAAGGCACCAGACGCGTCCTCGCGGCCGCCGCCAACGCCGGCGTCAAGAAAGTCGTCGTAACTTCCTCCATCATCGCTGTTGTCGGTACGGCTTTTGTAGTCGGTACGGCTTTTGTAGTCGGTACGGCTTTTGTAGTCGGTACGGCTTTTGTAGTCAGTACGGCTTTTGTAGTCGGTACAGCTTTTGTAGTCAGTACAGCTTTTGTAGTCGGTACAGCTTTTGTAGTCGGTACAGCTTTTATAGTCAGTACGGCTTTTGTAGTCGGTACGGCTTTTGTAGTCGGTACGGCTTTTGTAGTCGGTACGGTTTTTGTAGTCGGTATGGTTTTTCGATTTTCCATTTTATGTAGGGGGGTGCCATATGCGAAGAGAAGGGGTTGTTAAATTTTTTAGAGTCTCCATGACTGAATTTTTTCCACGCGTCAAATTCTTTGGTTCCTGGTAAATTTTATAACACAGATTACTTACAATTCCTAGTCATATGTCCCTGGCCTGTGTTGTCTTCCTTTAAATAGCTAAAATATTTTTTAGCGCACTTTGTTCTATTTTGAATGTATTTTAATCTGTAGTTCTGAGTTTTCTGGAATATTTAAATAATTTGTTCTGGTGCATCATGTATCATGCGCGATATAATTTATTTTTCTTAAATAAAATAATTTAGCTTAATACTGATCATAATAGTAATAACATTTCAGTGCTTCTAATAATTTTAATAATAAAAAAAATTCTGTTTTATGTCATAGGGAAAGGTGGCATTGTGAAAGGCAAGAAATACAACGAGGAGGAATGGACTGACCACACCTCCGAAGAGGTCACCGTGTACGGCCGCTCCAAGACGCTGGCCGAGAGAGCAGCCTGGGAGTTCCTTGACTCACAACCTGGTTAGTTTTACGTGACACGTTAATTATTTATGACTCGTATTTTTAAAGGATATTTGTTAATTAAGGCTTAAGGACTGGAATGAGTTGCAGTTCGTGTATACAAAAAGGAAAGATTGCGAAATTGAATATTAACTTCAGAGTTGTCAATGCACTCATAGCGAGTTGTGCAAGATGGGCTTTTTAACTTTTCAACGCCTTTTTTGACACCCGTTCAATGTTCAACACTTACAGCAGTAATATTCAGAATTATTTCATAACAGACACTGTGAATTATTGCCCCAATATAAGCTTGTGGCTTCGTTACGTTATACACCTCGACTGAGAGTACAAAAAAATTCCCATTCTTCACCTCGATTCATAGGACAAAAAAAATTCACGTTATTCACCTCGTTTCAGTGGACAAAAATTCACGTTATTCACCTCGTTTCAGAAGACAAAAAAATTCACATTCTTCACCTCGTTTCAAAGAACAAAAAAATCACGTTCTTCACCTCGATTCAGAGGACAAAAAAATTCACGTTATTCACCTCGTTTCAGTGGACAAAAATTCACGTTCTTCACCTCGTTTCAGAAGACAAAAAAATTCACATTCTTCACCTCGTTTCAAAGAACAAAAAAATCACGTTCTTCACCTCGTTTCAGAGGACAAAAAGTTCGAGCTGTCTACGGTGAACCCTGCGCTGGTGATGGGCCCTCCGCTGATGGAGTCCCACAGGAGCGCGACATCGGTGGGCATCATGCGGGACACTCTCAGCAATAAGCCGCCGTTCCTCCCCAGCATTAATTTCCCCGTCTGTGATGTCAGGGACGTGGCACTGGCACATCTTAAGGTCAGTATCAGCGTCAGGAACGTTGCACTGGTACATCTTAAGGTCGGTATCAGCGTCAGGAACGTTGCACTGGCACATCTTAAGGTCGATATCAGCGTCAGGAACGTTGCACTGGCACATCTTAAGGTCGATATCAGCGTCAGGAACGTTGCACTGGCACATCTTAAGGTCAGTATCAGCGTCAGGGACGTCGCTCTGGCACATCTTAAGGTCAGTATCAGAGTCAGGAACGTTGCACTGGCATAACTTAAGGTCAGTATCAGCGTCAGGAACGTTGCACTGGTACATCTTAAGGTCGGCATCAGCGTCAGGAACGTTGCACGGGCACATCTTAAGGTCGATATCAGCGTCAGGAACGTTGCACTGGCACATCTTAAGGTCGGTATCAGCGTTAGGAACGTCGCATGAGCATATCTTCAGGTCAGTTTCAGCGTTATGGTTATCGTAAGCATCAGAAAGTACCAAATTATTTGTCCCAAGACATTTAATGTTATTGATGGTCATCAGTAACATAATTGCTGAATAATATGTTGTGAAATAAGAAGCCTAAGCTGAAGTTTGTCTTGTTTCAGTGCCTCACGAATCCTGGAGCTGTAGGTAAGCGCCACCTCATCAGCAGCGGCGCGATTTGGTTCAAAGGAATACATGAAATCGTGGGCAGTGAATTCAATCCTCAAGGATGTAGAATAACTACACGAAGCTTGCCAAATTTTCTCGTGCGTGTCGCAGCTTTATTCGACCAAGGTGTGAGGATGGAGGTTCTGCCACGGCTCGATGAAATCCTGGAGCTTGACACATCTAGGGTGAGTATGAAGCCTATAGGCTTGTAAACTAGAAGTCTGTGCAAGAAATATTGGATATGAGAATTATTATTCGTTCTATCTATTTATCTATGTATCTATCTATCTTTCTTTCTATCTTCCTATCTGTCTATCTTTCTCGCTATCATGCCCCATTACGTTTGAGGACTTCAGAAGCAGGAGGCTCAACAATTATTGCGAGATTTAGGCGATAGCTTTGAGTCATCGGATGAAAATATCAGAATTTCATTTAAAACCGGATCGGAGCTGACCGGTGTACGTGCAGCATTTCCTCGCAAGTTTTTGAGACTCTTAATCCTGTTTCATTTCCCCAAGTTCAAACCAATCTCAAATCAAACGCGTATTGAAAAATCAACGTTCACTAGCGACGGGCTATCGCTCAATCATCAATTGATTTTGCCGTCAGTTGTAAATTACGGTACAGGTTGAACTATGTTGCCCGACCTTTCTATTGTCTTGCCTTCTTTAGGTTGTGAGTAATAAATTTGTTGTGAGTAAGTTGCTAGTAATCAAATAAATTTCTGTTGGTTTGTGCAGTTACATTTTAACTCGGATTTCGTATTATGCGAAGCGACAAGGGCATAGTATATATGCGTATGTCTGGATCAAAATAGCTTTCCTTTCTAACGCCAACCTTGTGTCTGCCGACGGTAACTCTTGTTACCAGGTATTGACATGTAAATAGCAATGATGACGGGTAATTTTTCCGTAGAAAAATGGTTAATAAATATGTATTCTCTGAAGTTGCATTAATATTCTTCATTAATTTAAAATAGTTTGCTTGTTATCGAATGACAATCACATTTAAGGTTCTTCATGCCTTAAATATTCGTGTCTATGACATCATGCGCTGAAATATTGATACTAAAATATTATTTGGCTTATGTATCAGCATTTAGAATTGATCCAATGTTTTCTTAATATCTACTAACAAGAAGATTTTTGTTCCTATATGCCCCAGTCACTACTGTCTATGATACCCAGCTTTGAGATTTAACCCTCAGCAAGTTCCCCAAGTAATGTCAATGTGAACAACATTCGTGCAGATGACAGACGTGCTGGGGATCAAGCCAACCCCAATGAAATCATCGCTGCTGGACATGGCCTACGCCATGATGGAGCTCGGCATTGTGGACAAGCCTGCAAAATATTCAGGGGTAAGCCCGTACTCTCAGAAAAAAATATTGGTAATATTAGCCAAATATCGATAGAATTTCTCACAAGCAGAGAGTAAACGTAACACTGATACGACTCTTTGTCGGGCCAAAATGGATCAGGATGACCTAAAAGGTGCATCGTTGTTTGGACAAATTCACGCACATTTCTGAGTGTGAGATCCTATAGAAATCGGTCAATGCATTCATGTTGTTCATTCCAAGCTAGTCATGTTGTACTGTGGGGTAACTGCCGTACGTTACCCGCACAGTGAGGAAATTACGAGCTCGGAAATGAATCAAACTGGATCAAGTGAATTTATTTGATACGGCAAAGAATACGGGAATGATAACAGAAATAATAGAAATAATACCCTTGGCAACGTGGGAACCTGTTCGAGAAGTATGTCTTATAAGTAACCATGATGAGGCAAATAATAGTACAATATAACCAGTTACGCATATAAACAAAGAAACTTATCTTAGAGACCTAAATCTTAACTAACCTGCTGTTGTGGATCGGCTGGGCTATAC